TAGTCTCTCACAGTTCTGGAGGCTGTGTCCAAATTAAAGATGTTGGCAGGGCCGTGCTGTCTTGGAAGGCTCCAGAGGAAGATCCTGGTCTTGTCTAGCTTCTGGTGACCCTGGGTGTTCCTTGGTGTTCCTGGATTTTAGGTGTATCTTTACGTGGAGTCTGTCTTCCCCCCAGTGTGACTCTGTCTCTCTTCTCTTTTATAAGACGTCGCTTAGGAGGGATTAGGACCTACCCTACGCTATATGATCTTCTTAACATGTAGCATCTTCAAATAAAACCGTATTTCCAAACAAGGTCACCTTCACAAGTACGGAAATTAGGACTTCAGCATCTTTCTGGGGGGTACAATTCATTCGTAACACTTACTGTAGGATTTATTTTTCTGATTCATTTTAGAATATTTTTATTGTAATATATTAATTATTGTCTGGATAGTGTTCTGCATGCATATGTTTTCCAGACAACTAAAGCTTAAACCTTTTAAGTATGTGTAGTTTTATTCATCTGGTTCAGATGGACTTTTTCCTAAAGTGTATCTAATTTCCTCATCTGTTTAACTAGAGCAGTGATCTCAAACTCTAGTATATATCAGAATCACTTGAGAGGGTGTAGGGTTTATAATTAACTTTACCCAAAGAATTTGGTCTTTGTCTTTGGTTCCTGAGAGATAACCTCTAAAACCTTAAAAATTTCCCCAGTAATTCGTGTCTTTGTTATCTAAGAAGGCTCCAGACCTGTTTTTGCTTATGAAGTGACTCTTGGGTAGGGGCTGGCCAGACCAAAAAGACCCACCACTTGGTACTAACCCAGCCTCGGGACAGGGGAAGGCAGGGGAAGGCCAGAAGTTGCGTTCAACCACTTGGGGCAGTGATTCAGTCAGTCTGCCTACATAATGAGCCTCAATAAAAAGCTCTGGAGGAGGAAACTCCATGGGCTTCCTGGCTGGTGATAGACATCAGTGCAGAGGGGAGGGCTGTTGTTATCAGTTGCCTTAGAGTCGATTCCGGCTCATGGCGACCCCATGTGTGCAGAGTAGAACTGCTCCATAGGGTTTCAAGGCTGTGACCTTTCAGAAGCAGATTGCCAGGCCTGTCTTCCAAGATGCCTCTGAATGATTCAAGCCGCTAACCTTTCAGCTAGTAGTCTAATGGTTGACTGTGCCACGCAGGGACTCCCGTGGGAGATAGTGCATCCCTTTCTGGGGCATGGAAGCTCTGCATTGGGAACCCTCCCAGACCTCGCCCATGCATCTCTTCATTTTGTATCCTTTTTGCCGTAATAAAACTAATCGTAAAGTATAGAGCTTTGCTGAGTTCTGTGAGTGTCATTCTGGTGAATTATCGAACCTGAGGGAGTAGTGGGAGACCATCAGGATACGGCTGGCATCCTGAGGGGGTAGTGGGAAACCCCTGAATTTGTAGCCAGCAGGTCAGAAGTGAGGGTGTCATGGCTATACCCAAGCTTGTGACTGGCATCTGAGGTTTTGGGCAAACTTATAGTCTTTTTAACTGTAAAAGGTACTGGAGAACTGTGCCCTTTTAATTTGTGAGCTCTGCCCTAGCTCTGGTGGATAGGGTCTGGTGGGAAGATGGTACTGCTAATGAGCAGTTCGTGTCAGAAGAGAATTAGGACACCACAGAATTGAACTGCATTGACTTGATGGATCTGATCCAAACCTGAGTTTCTTGTTTAGTAGGTCTAGAATAGGGCCTGAGGAGATGTTGATATTACTGGTGCAGATACCGAACTGGAATAGGGCACCACTAGAACTAGAGTATACTGAGCTTAATTTAACTTTTTCTTCATGACTTAGGGTCATCTAACCTACAAAGATGTATTTGGCTACTGAAATGTAGGGATGTTTGTTCTTTTGTAATGGGCTTTTTTAAAGTTGAGGTCAGTTTTATAATCTGTATTTCCTTTTACTCTCTAGCTCTTTTGCTGTCATTCATTGTGCCACTAGTAAGTCTCATGTCTCACTCTCATTTTCTTGTACTGAGCTGCTATGGGCTGATTAGATAAACTGACCAAATTTTAGTTGAGAAAAGAGGAGGTCTCTCAGCAAAGTACATGAGTTTTGTTATATCAGTTGGACTGTTGGGTTGTATTTCCTGATTTTTTTTTGCAAGGTATCTAAGGCTGCCATACAGGTGACCTCTGGTTAAGTATGGTATACAGCTGGCCTGTGGGTAAGGATGCTGTTCATCTTCAATTGTGTTTACTTGTCTCCTTTGATGAGTAGCCCTTCTGCTTAATGACACTGAAGCCTCATCTCTGATATCTGTGTATGGGCCTGTGGTAGAAATAATCATCCCAGAGCTCTCTGGTGCTTTCAGTAGCTAAACACCTTAGAGGAAGTCCCCCAAAGATTATTCTATACTAAAGTCTTGCTACAGTGCTTTAGCTACCTTTTTATCTATTAAGTATGTATTTTACTTTTTTCAAAGTTTTACACTTTTTAAATTAAACTGTATTATACATTTGAGAATGGATAAACAAGTAACTAGTATTGTATGTATGTTTTTACTTTAAAAAAGTAAGTCTTGGATGTAGGAATATAATTGCCCCTCCAAAGTAACTAATGTGTGTAAGATTAGCGTAGAAAAGGGTAACAGTGAATTTTGTGTTTTTCAGTAGTGGGTTTAGGGTTATCACTTCCTGGGTTGGCTAGAAAGCTTACATTGCACATCTGTTGAAATTTGTTTGGAGAACACAAGTCATTAGACACTTCCGAGTTGTTACTCACCCTTTTCAGACAATAAGGAAATACTGTTTCTCAAGTGCCTGTTGTCAGAGGTGTCTTGTCTTTTCTGCTGACAGGATTTTTCAAGGCGTCTTTCCCTTGGGTTTGCTTTCCGTTCAGATTTGTGTGGGCTGCCTTAACTTCAACCTGTGTGTGTATACCTGTTAAGTCGTTTTTTCCCTTCTGTGACTTTTTCTCTAAAATCTTGCAAATGGTACTTTATGGAGAAGATTGTTGCCTAAAATCGATAACCTCACCCTCAGTTTGTTTCTACTAGGTTTCTTCCTAGTTAGTAATAACATTCTCAGTATATGTCTCTGTTCTGCTTCAGAAGTTGGGAAGTACTTTCACATTATTCCATTTAGTCTTCACTGTATTTCCTGTCAGGTAACAATGGGGGTTTACCAGAGTACCGGGGGGGGGCTCCCATTCGCCCCTCGGTCACACCAATCCCAAAGCCTGTGCTGTTGCTCTCCTGGTGTCCCATAGTCGTCATTGGTTAGCTGGGCAAGTCACCTAGCTTGAGTGTTTTCATCCAGACCAACTTCATAAAGCTGTTGTCAGGGTTAGCTTGAATAATGTGTATAAATTGCTTAGAACAGTGCCTGACATGTAGCAAAGCTACAATAAACACAATTCTAATAGTTATTATATCACATTTCTTTTTTCCTTTAGAAGTTGCCATAATGAAATTAATTTCTCAGATTTTCAGGCAACGTTTGATACAGTGAAATTTCACCATCAAAAAAGTTTTTCAGTTATTTTTTGAGCTTATTGTGTTGGGTTAGTTGTCTCTTCTTTTTTAAAATAATTTTAGTTGTCTAAGTTTTTGTTCTTTTGTCTTAAAATGTCAAATAAAATAACTACTTGGGAAGACCGTTGAAGCTATTTATATTGTTTTTAGTATACTGGGATCAAAATGGATGCCTTTTCTCTGAGATTAAAACATTTTAGTGCATATTTTATTACTAAATCTAAAAGATATGTTGGTTATTTGATGGCCTATTGAGATTTTGTAAGGATAAGAATAATATGGCCATTGAGGTGCTTATTGGCTCATGGGTGTTTGCATATGGAAGAAAGAAAAAAGTAGGAATTTCGTAATATCTATAGCATTTGTAAAATACCATTTTGTCCGCATTAACTCAAGAAGTGAGTTAAACTTGGTTAAACAGAGTATCGTCATCGTTAACTGAACTTCGGCGGAAATAGTTGCATTTTCCCTTGGGGCCTTTTATAAGCAGGTTTTTTTAAATAATATTAATTGAGTTTTTGTGAAAGTTTACACAGCAGGTTAAGTTCACATTTGACAGTTTCCACATAAATTGTTCAGTGACCTTAGTTACATCAGTCGCGTTTTGTCAGCCTTCTCGTCAGTTGTGTTCAGTTTGTTCCCTTTGCAGTACTCTTGTTTCCCTGCCCCTTTACCTTCTCATCTTTGCTTTTGAGTAATTGTTGACCTTTTGGTTTCAAACTGATAGTTTTAGGTAGGGCACTGATCTTATGGGTAATACCCTTTATTTTGTGTGCTGCTCTGCTATTTCACTAAGAGGTGATCTCGGGATGTGCTCGGTTCTAGGTTTGAAGAGTGTCTCTGGGCGATAGTCTCAGGGAGTCCTCTGTTCTCTACTGTTCCAGTTTGCTTGACTTTTTTTTTTTTTTTTTAAATAAGAATTTGAGTTCTGTTCCATATTTTTCTCCCATTGTGTCTGGGACCAACTGTTGTGACCCCAGTTGGAACACTCAGTGGTGGTAGCCTGGCACCAGCTTGTTCTTCTGGTCTCAGGGTAGATGATGTTGTGGCTCAGGTAGACTTGTTTCTTCTCTGTGCTTTTGGTTACCTTCTTAATATTTTGCTCCTGGCAAGTAGAGACCTGTAGTTGTGTCTTAGATGGCTGCTCACAAGCTTTTAAGACCCCAGATGCTACTCACTTTACTAGGATGCAGAACATGAGTTTTGTGAACTGTTATGCCAGTTGACTGGGTTGTCCCATGAAACTATGGTCCCAAGCCTTCAAACCCAGAAAAGCAATCATGGAAGGTGTTTGATTATGTTTGAGGAGTATCCATATTTGTGTCTTCAGTGAATATATATGTCTGCACCCACTTACTTGTATTTACACGTACTTACAGATACTTCTGTCTGTTCTCCTCTGTGTACACAACTGTGCCTACCCGTATACCAATTTGCCTGTTGGGAATTTTTTTTAAGAATAAATTTCTAAAACTGCCTTATGTGTTTTTCCCTCCCAGCAGGGCCTTCTTAGCAGGGTTACAGAATCTGTTAAGAATATTGTGCCTGGATGGCTACAGAGATATTTCAACAAGAATGAAGATGTATGCAGCTGCTCAGCAGACACAAGTGAGGTGCCACATTGGCCAGAAAATAGAGAAGATGCCCATCTCCTGTATGCTGATGAGGAGAGCACCCACGTAAATGATGGGAGGCTCACCCCTGAGCCAGCAGTCAGTAATACAGAAGGTAAGTGGGATGCTGGTATTTCCTTAGAAACAATAGACTGTCATGTCCTGATTTTAAATCCATTACCTGGCTGTGTTAAGTCTAACTAAGTAGTACATAAACCATACAGGAGAGCGTGCTGATCAGGTTCAAATTGGAGATGGTTTTTATTTGTCAGCTGTGTGTTTCTTAAGGGGGCCAGTATGCTACAGCGGTTAAGTGTGCAAGCGCTGGTGTCAGGGGGACACTCTGCTATAGTGGTTAAGTGTGCAAGCACTAGTGTCAGGGGGACACTCTGCTATAGTGGTTAAGTGTGCAAGTGCTGGTGTCAGGCATTAGTGTTGAATTTTCATCCCACCAATTACTACACATGTGGCTTTGGGCAAGATAGTTGGTCTGTTTTCTCTTCTGTATCCTCCTGAGTTGTTTTGAAAAGAGTAAACCTGAAGCCCTTAGCGTAGATCCTACTACCACGGAACAACAACAACAAAAAAAACCCAAACCCGTTGCCATCAAGTCTATTCCGACTCATAGCGACCCTGTAGGACAGAGTAGAACAGCCCCATAGGGTTTCCAAGGAGCACCTGGTGGATTTGAACTGCCGACCTTTAGGTTAGCAGCCATAGCTCTTAACCACTGCACCACCAAGGCTCCAGCACTAAGTAAGCAGCGAGTGAAGGTTAACTGTTTCAGTGAAACTGTGACCGTGCCTCCCACCGTGTGCGTTTGTATATAGTGTGACTTGCTGTTGGCTCCTGTCCTCTGCAGCAAGCACATCCGGGTTGTTTCACTGATCCCACAATTGAGTGACCCTGCATTTTAAAGCACCGAACATTTTTGGAACCACTTACAGTATTTTGGTGGGAATTACATTAGTGAATAAATGCAGTGTAACCCGTGGATCTGGTGTACTTGGGAATATTACTCTGTCGTTTCATATATACATGTGTGTGCACGTGTGTATATACATCTGTATGTAGATGACGTGGACTTTAGTCTCATCCAGACTGTGTTCTTCATCGGGCCTGGTTTGGAGGACGAGGGGGCTCCGTAAGTACAAAAAACGGGCATTGCTGCTAGCAGCATACCTTCATACAGAATTACATCGTATTGGATTTCTTTTTCCTCTGTAACTTCTGTGTATGCTTGCTTTAATTGATGTCTGCCAATAGCTAGAAAATTACCGTATCATTATTATCCTATAGGAGAAACGGTTGCAGGGGTAAGGGAATGGGATAAGTAAAAAGCATTTTTTATGCTACAGTATGCTACAAAGTTAGAATACTTCATACCCTAAGAAATGTTTCAGCCTGTATATGTGAGTCCTGGCTGCAGAGAAATTGAACTATTTATAATGTTTACATGCCAGTTGAACCAGTAGGCTTCTTTCTACTCTTCTGCCAGGAGTTCTCTTAACTTGAACATACATGATAAGAAATTCGTATATATAAAAGCAATTTAGATGTGATATTAGATTTTTTAAATTGAATGTTTCATGAATAGTGATTTTTAAAAAGAATTCTTCATTGTCGTTCTTGGTGCATGTTGCTTTTTGTATAAAAGCACTTCAAAACTAAATAGTCCAGAATTGTTTTGTATTGCTTAAAAGCTGTTAGTATTTTTTGAAGACAAACTTTTAGAAAAGCAGCACAAAGAAGAAAATTATAAAGTAGCAAATACAATCCAGCAGCACCTTAAAGTATGTTGTGACGTTCTGGTCACTGGGGGGTGGGGCAGGATGTTACTCTAGTAATGCAGGGACTCCTTCAGCATTAGGGAATTGTTAACATAATTTACCATCTCTGTAGATGGCATGATCTTAACAGCTTTTCTCTTTTTAGTAGATTCTAAGTAGGCATTGGCTGAAACTTAAAATCCATTCCTCTTTATTTCTGTTCGGAGGTTTTTTTTCCTTAAAAAACTACTGCTTCCTTAACAGTCTTTCAAACCAAAGGCCTGAATTGTGTTTAATGGCGATACATTAAAAGCATTTGCCTTGAAGCCAGGAATAAGAATCCTGTTTAATGGTGAAACATTAGAAATGTTCCCATTAAGTTCAGGAATAAGATGGAAGCCCATCAAGACCACCTCTAGAAATTAAAAATGTCATTAGATGAGAGGACGTATATATACGTATAGCTGTTGGGAACAACGAGGCAAAGTGACCCTCGGCTTGCAGATAATACCTGGCAACCCCAAGAAAATCACTTGATTTTTAAAAACTTAGAGTGAGAGAACTTTATCACAAAATTAATATTATAAAATCCAATCATTCTTATTTAAGCAGTATCCAGTTAGAAAATATTAAGGAAGAAAGAATCCCGTTTATAATATCAAACAATGAAACCAGAAATATACGTAACAAGTATGTGGCACTCTGTAAGAAGAAATTCTTTCGAGTTCTCCTGAGGTATGTATGGGAGATCTGAACAGAAGGGAAGCGTAGGTAGGAAAGGTGCTGAGAACAGTGTCAGTTGTTCGTTTTAAATCTTTTACATTCAGGGGGATCTCAGTCAGAATAACCTCAGCAGGTCTTTTAGGAGCTTTGGATATATTTGAAAATGTCTACTTTAAAGTCTTTGTCTACTAAGTACAATATTTTGGCCATCTTGGGTTCAGTTTCTTTTATTTATGTAATTTATTGTATTCCTTTTTCGTGGTTGAGAATACACACGGCAGAACATCCACCAGTTCAGCAGTTTCTACGTGTAAAATTCAGTGACATTGTTTACATTCTTTGAGTTGTGCAGCCATTCTCACTCTCTTTTTCTGAATTGTTCCTCCCTCATTAACATAAACTCACTGCCCCCTAAGTTTCCGTCTGATCTTTTGAGTTGCTGTTGTCAGTTTGATCCCATGTGGGTAGATCTTAAAAGAGCACAATGCTCAAGGCAGACAGTCTTTACTAGTTAAGTTAAACTGTTGTTTTGGTTTTAAGACTTCAGGGGATATTTTTGATTTAAGGTTTAAAGAGTATCTCAGGGCAGTTGTTTCAGGCGTTCGCCCAGCCTCCTTGGCTCCAGAAAGTCTGGATTCCATGAGAATTTGAAATTCTGTTTTGCATTTTCCCTCTTTTTGATCAGGATTCTTCTGTAGAATCGCTGATACAAATGTTCAGTGGTGGTAGCCAGGCACCATCCAGTTCTTCCAGGTCTCATGACAAAGGAGAAGGCAGTTATTCATGGAGGTAATTAGCCACACATTCCATATCTTCCTTTTATTCCTGACTCTCCTTCTTCCTCTGTTGCTCCAGGTCAATAGAGAACAATTGTCTTGCCTTGGATGACTGCTTGCAAGCTTTCAAGACCCCAGGCACTACACAAAGAAATAGGAGGTAGAAGAGAAGCACTAAACACGTTCTTAGGCCAATTAACTGGGATGTCCCATGAAACCATGACCCTAAACCTCTAAACCAAGGGACCAAATCCCATGAGGTGTTGGGTTGTACATAAGCAGCCTCAGCAGCTACTCTTTTTTTTTGGTCATTGTAAATATATTTATCACACAACTTTTGCCAGTTAAACTTTTTACAGGTGTAAAAGTTATTAACAGCAATTACTTTAATCAGCCGTGCAACTCTACCCTTACTATGATTTTTCCATCACCGTAAGCTGAAACTCTGTACTACATAAGCAATAACCTTGAGTTCAGTTTCTGCTGACTATTTTTTTAACACTGTAGGTCACATTTTTCTTCTTCTTTCTCTATCTAGTGATTTTTTACTAAATATTGGCATTTTGAATAATACAAATAGAGACTCTAGATTCTGTTTTCTTCCTCTGAAGACTGTTGATTCTTGTTTTAGCAGGCAGTTGAATTACTGAATGATCATTTTGACTTTTGTAGACTTAGTTTTGTGCTTTGTTGGATCAGATTTGTGGAAAGCCCAAGCTGTTCCTAAACCCCTCTGATGTGGTAGGACTTAGCCTGCAAACTCGGTCTTTTTAGTATGGGTCTAGAGTAGGTCTCATTCTAGGCCGTACTACTGAAGGGAAGCTTTTTGGTACCTCCGCTGAATGCCAGGGATTTAAGGACGTGTTAATAAAATCTCTAATTTTGGCGTGACTAGACTGTAGTATATCCTTGGCACTGCTTTTTCCCCTAACATTGTTTGTCTCTGGAATCTCCGTTCTCCTTTCAACTCCGCTGCTATTTGCTGAGCTTTAGGTGGTCTCACTCCGCACGCGTGTAGCCCATCCACTCAGTGACCTTCCGCGTGGACTTCTGGAGGCCTCTACACAGTGCCCCACTTTTCCATCGCGCTGAATTCTGACTTCTGCTCACTGCTTTAGTGGACTTCAGTTTTCTGTGCCAGGTTTGAAAGTTGCTCCCACGCAGAGAAGTAGGTAGTCCTGGGGCTTAGCTAGTGAATTTTCCTGTGCTGTTCCTGTTGTCTGGAAACAGTTCCCTCATATATCTTGTCCACTTTTATAGTTGTTTATAGCAGAAGAACTGGTCTGTTGTCAGTTACTCCATCCTACCTGGAAGCATATTTTGAGAACTTGACAATTCTGAAGTTCTTGAGAATACATCTAGACATGAATAGGGAAATTCTGGAACAGAAGAGTAAAGGGAGAGGGGTGGGCCGGAGTAACTGTAGTAGGCATTAAATGTGTTCTAAGGCTGTAGCATTTAAAGTACTACATTTCTGGTACAGAAATAGGTTCATCATTAAAAGAAGGGGAAAAACTTTTTGAAATTTACTACGTGGCAGTGAGTGGCTTCTCAGGTCAATGAGGAAAGGAGGACTTACTTAAAAAATTATTTTCAGATATAAACTGGCTAACCATTTGGAAAACAACGAAACTGAATCCCTCCTGTATCATAACTGATTCCAGATGGGAGTCAAGATATAAACATATTGAAATAAAAGCAAGAGCATCCCCCCTCCAAAAAAAAAATATCTGAAAGTTTTCATAGTTCTGGAATGGTAAAAGCCTCTGTAAACAAGATACAAGATTGATTAAGTGCTATTTTCTGTGTCACAAAAGATACCATCAAAAACATGAATGGGTCAGCCA